TGACAATTACACAGCTCTTACTTAAAGGATGAAGACCAAAACAAATAGTCTAAGGGAATTAGAAAAGAAAAAAGAAAGCCAAAAGTAATATTCATAGCAGAGCAAATGTGTGTATGTAAGGCTAGCTCATACAGAAGCAAATGGGTCCAGGATCAGGGCAGAGAAATCATCTGATGCAGTGCGCAGATGTCACTTGGGAATTCTGTGTTCAAATAAGGGTGCCTGGTTCACGTTCTGGCTCCTCTACGTGCCACGCAGTTCCCTAATGCATACTCTGCAAGGTAGCAGGTGACCCGCTCTTCAACTCTTTTGGCCCCTGCCATCCAATGGGAGATCTAGACTGCGTTCTGGGCTCCTAGCTTCAGCTTTGACTGTTGTGGGCATTTCGACAGTCGATGGAAGATTTCTGTGTCTTTCTGACATTCAAATAATGTGAAAAATAAATACTGTTTTAGAAACTTTAAAATTAGGGGCCAACATTTTCAGGGGTAGTGGGTTAAGCTGCCATCTAAGGTGCTGGCATCCCATGGTAGTTTAAGTCTAGGCTGCTCCGTGCCTAGCTAACATGCCTGGGAAGTTGCAATAGGTGGCTCAAATATTTGCACCCCTGCCACCCATGAGGAAGACCCAGATGGACTTGCAACATCCTGGTTTTAGTGGAGCTCTGCCTCAGCTCTTGGTGCTGTTGGTGGAGTGAATCAGTGGGAGGGAGATTCCTTCTCTCTCTTTGTCTCTCTCCCCCTCTTTCTGTGTAACTCTGTGTTTCAAATAAATAAATAAATCATTCTTAAAAACTTCAAAATTAGGGCCGCGCGGTGTGGCCTAGCAGCTAAAGTCCTCGCCTTGAACACGCCGGGATCCCATATGGGGGCCGGTTCTAATCCCAGCAGCTCCAATTTCCCATCCAGCTCTCTGCTTGTGGCCTGGGAAAGCTGTTGAGTTGAGGACGGCCCAAACCCTTGGGACCCTGCATCCACGTGGGAGACCTGGAGGAGGTTCCCGGCTCCTGGCTTTGGATCAGCACACGCACCGGCCGTTGCGGTCACTTGGGGAGTGAATTATCAGACGGAAGATCTTCCTCTCTGTCTCTCCTCCTCTCTGTGTATCTAACTTTCCAATAAAAATGAATAAATCTTTAAAAAAAAAGAAACCTTCAAAATTAAACACAAAGAAAACAGCAGGACATTCCTCCATGTAGATTTAGACAAGAGGTCTTCAAAAACATTGTGGGAAGTCAGTATTTTGAAAACAACAAACAACAAACAAAAAACAAGACACCTACAACACTTCTCAGCCTTTTGGCTAAGATCGAGTGGAAAAAAAAAGATATATGCATTGCCAAAATACTTATGTTTTCATTCCCTCTTTCCGCAGATGTTTCACAAGGCGCTCCTATGTGGCTCTGAGGGGTTCTGGGTGGGACACCCGGGAAGCTGCTGTGGTAAGGTCTGGAGAACATTGCTCACTGTACATATTTCTGGAAAACGTTTTCTCCTGTGTCCACATCACTTACCAGCTGATATGAATCTTTTCATGAATTGGATCAGCAAAAGCTTTCTAAATACCTTTTTAAATGTCAAGCCCCACATAGGGCTTGGGAGATGGAAGGAGTGATGAGCCACTGCCTTTTCTCCCCAGGAGAAGGGAGCAAAGAGACAAGTCAGGTGCTGAGTTAGGATGTTGTCAAGGAAAAGCAAGGACAGTTCCCACTTGCCTGGCCTCGGGAGATAACTTCACAGGCACCCTGTGACGTGGCAGTGGAAGCCTTGATCCAGTCTTTCCACGTGTAGCAAGCAGTCTGGAAGCCAGAGACGGCATGTTCCTCCGGACTGGCCACAGTAATCATGGTATCACCTTTCTCTGGAGCCAAGGTCAGCAGGTTGACCAGTCGCCTTCTTTCGACTACGTTTGCTCTCTTCAGCTCTGACACAAATACCCAATCAACATGTGGTCTGCTCTGCACAGCTCCTGGGAGACGTGGGGTCAAAGGGAAGCCTCTGGAACACGAAGCTCCTGCTGTTTGCAGTGTTGTGAGCAATAATGTCTCCCGTTTCTAACCCCATAGGCATCTTCCGCTAGTATCCATGAGGCTGAAGCAGGCTCTCCTTCTGGCCTGCAAACAGGGAGCCATCTCAAACCTTTCACAATTCCTGATGATCAAAATTAGTATGGTAGTTTTGTTTTTTTTAAAAAATCAAAACAACAATAAGTATTTTTTTTTTTTTTTTGCTTTTTTTGGCTAGCACCTTGCGTGACCTAGTCCTGAGCCAGCATTTACTGTCTTCTTCATTTCAGCCATGCACGTCTGCCCATGGCTCAGGAAGTCGAACAAGCGAGAAAACACAGGCTCCACCCTGCTCCTCCTCCTCAGAGCTTCCAGATCTTGGCACGAGATGAGGTAAAGTTACATGAAAACACCTGTCGCAGGTGCACAGAGGCAAAAAACCAGGGCAAGACCCAGAGGAACTCCTTCCCTCCCGGCAGGGAAGACGCATCAGCAATGCCTGGTTTTACGACACCTGCAGCCTTAGGATGCTTCATAGGCACATGGTCCAGGTTAAGTGAATCCCAGTGACGGATCCCTAGCAAGTCACAAAGCTCGAAATACCTAACTGAGGGAATCCTTAGGAAGGGCTTAGTGTTGAAATTGGGGTTTGTCCGGATGCGTTATATGCTGTTTTTTAAATAAATATACTGATGACGTAACAGAATTGAAGCTTCATTTTCCCCCCTTCATTTCTGGAGCTCTTTCACACCAGTTTCTTAATGCTCTGGAATTGAAAGCAGCCACTGCGGACCCTGTGTGTATCACCTCCAGCTGTTTCCTGTGGATTTGCCCTCACCTCGGTCACCGCTGAGAAGGCCTTCACTCGGCCCTGGTTTCCATCACCTATAGCATCTTTATTCTGGTTACTTACTGCTATTTATATCACAGGCATTTGCAAGATGCATATTTCAAAGAGAGAGAGAGAAAGCATCCCTGGACACAAGTTATCTCCTCACAGAAACTAGAGGGTGGCCAGCCCTCCCCCCGAGGGCAACTGGCTCAGGACTAGGCATTCTTGAATGCCAGCAAGGTGAAGGAGTCAGACTCTGCTGAGCTAAGAAAGAGGAGTGCTCAACTAAAGGTTTGTCCCACAAGAAAACGCAGGCAGGTTTCCCCAGGGTGGCAACCCTGCTCAGATGCCACACGATCTTTCTCTAAAGCAGCCGCACACATTCTGGTCCACCTGGTGCCAAGGCGAGCTGAGGGGCTTCTGTGTGCTCTCCCTTAGGGGCTGCAGCCTGGCACATTTGATGTGGCTCATGCACAGCTTGCTCACTGCACAGGACATGCACAGGACCTGTCCTGGGTGGGAGCTGACTTCTCTCTGGTGGGCGTGCCTCGACACCCTCCAGTCACAGGGTGGAGCTTGAGTCTGAGTCTGAATACCCTGAGAGGCAGCAGACCGAGGCTGCAGCAGCTGGGCTCCTGCCACCCACATAGGAAATCCAGACCAAGTTCGCAGCTCCTGGCTGTGGCCTGGATGGGCCCTGGCTGTGGCAGGCATTGGGGAGTGAACCAACCAATGGGAGATTCTCTCTGAGAGACAGTGAGAGAGATACACTGACTGCCTTCCAATAAACATCTTTTTTCAAAAGGAAACATTTTGCATAATGGTGACATTTCTGATGTCTTCTGTAACAGGCACCCTAACCGTTTGGAATCAATCTTCTGGAATTATAAAGTAACTACAGCAGACCCTCACTCAGAGAGCAGGTGGATGGGTACTGCTCCCTCCCAGGTCTCCAATGATGGCAGATAACAGAACTGCCACTGAGACAGAGCTAAGAGGCCAGAATGTCTGTCACAGGCCCTCCTGCCTCCTGTCCCCAGGCCTCCTCCGTCTCCCTTCCAAGTCCTCTCAGGGCTGCCACTCAGGGAGTAGAGTGACTTCATCTGTCATTTCTCTGAACAGAGACCGACCTGGCCACAGAGAAGAGGCAGCCATCAGAAGGCATGTGTGCCTGGAGTCACTGGATTTAGGAAAGGCAGGCTCAAAGGAAGGCAGGGAAGGTGGCAGGTAAAGCCACACGAGCCAGCACTGGAAGGCCTCAGGCCACCTGTGCCTCTGCGTCCTGGAAATGTGACCCAAATGGTGATGTGTCATGAGTGCAGAAACACACACTGAGTTTCTGAGACAATCCTATCTTGATTATTGGTTAAAATGATAAAGATTCAGATCATGCCTGGGTGCATACAATATGTTATTAAAATCAACCATGCATGCTGATTTTGACTTCTTCTTTTAACAGTTACTAGAAAATTCAACATGACCTATTCAGCTCCCATTCCATTTCTCGAGGCAGGGTCCAAGGCTAAAGCCTGCCTCTTTTGATTTTCCTTTCTTTCTTAAAAAAGGAGGGGAAAAGATCATGATGTAGAGCAGAGCGAGGAATACTAAAGGACAAAAGGCCCTGTTGCTATTTATGAACCGGGCCCTTCTGAGTTTATAAACGTGTCGTGAGACGCCCAGGTTGGCTGTGTAGTGGCCTGGCTTCTCCTCTGCCAAGGGCAGGGGACGGCCCGAGTCAGTTCACGGTGTTTGTAGCGGCTCTGTCTGCGACACCAGCAAAGCCAGACTTGATGTTTCTTTTCCGACCCGCTTTCATCCTCCATAGGATCTAAGATCTAAGGTTTCACAACTCAAGAATCCAGCCCAATGCTCCTTCCACAGAACACTGGAGCTGCCTTGGCAAAGCCCAATAAATCCCAGGAAAGTATTTTAGGAACTGTTGCTCTTATTTCAAGTCATGGAAAGTGTTAGTGTGAAGGACTCAAGTTCTCTTGTAAAAGGGTAAGGGAAACTCCCCTCCTCCCCCACACAGCAAGTACCACGTTAGTTTGGCTTCCCTTTGTCAAGGTGCAGGGGACTCTGGACCACCGGGTCCAACAGTGGGACGTGAGATAGTCCGGTCTCCACCAGGGAGGAGACCTGGTCACTGAGCCCTGCACTCACCCTTGTATGTTCCTGTCTGAGCCTTCAGGAGCTCTGCACATTTTGTTTCTTCCTCTTGTATTTCCAAATGAAATCGGCATTCCGGGTGAATGCTGCTCACCTGTTCAAGGCCAAAGGAAATGGAAATCAGGAGAAACTCCACAGCGGTCATCAAGCAGAAATGCTACCAAAACCCCCACAGTTCTACCAACACCCCCCACCCCCACAAGCGTATTTTCCTGGCAGAGTTACTAAGAGCAACTTTATGATTTACTTCCTCATAATGTTAAAGCTCAATATAACTATTTTTTTGAGAAGGAAACCAAACTTACTAACATAACACGTTGCATGTCAGTACTAATGCGGAAGCAATGGAGACCCGGGACCCAATAATCTCTCCTTATTCCAGAGCCCTCTTGGAGGCAGCTCTTGTTCTGATGGAAGTGAATGCGTGTTCACTGCTCAGGCCTTTCCTAATCACTGCCCACGATGGTGGACAGCAGGTGCAGCATCTGAGGACCGTCTGGCTTCACAGCCCTAAGCGGACAGCAAGACCTGACCACAGGCTCTTAAGGTGTACCAGTACGGAGCCCTGTGTACTTACTACCTGTGCAAAGACAGAAAGCATGCCACTCAGTCTGAGATGATAACACTCGGTAACCCCTGTTTTTAACAAAGTGCAGCACCCTTTCTCTTCATGCTCTTTTTCCACCTCGACATGCACTCACAAAACGCATAGTTAATTTCCACTGCCTACAGAGATCTCTGTCTCCCTCTCTCTGTCTCTCTTACACACACACACACACACACACACACACACACACACACATTTTGTCTAACCAAAATTTCATTTGTGCTTACGTCCTACTAAGCGAAGAGAGTCACACTTTCAGGCACGTGAAGGCCACCCACCTCTGGTTACCCCACTGCTCATGTAGGTCTGCCAGAATTCCAGCCACGAGCAGTCTCCTACCGGAGCCAAGGACAGACCCAACGTGGAGTTCTTCCCCAGTCAGCCCCTCTTAGAAAGCTGGTGTTTTGTTTTCAATCCGACGCATTACTGACTAGCCACCGAGTGGACAGATCCCTGATTCTGAGGATGCTATGTTACATTTCAGATTGAGGGAAACCACACTGACTTAGATTGTTCAGGCGCAGTGGCCCGTTTGGGAAGATCTTAGAAAGTAAAACAGGTTTACCACGGTGCCTGTCGGTGTGTCTGAGCAGCCGGCTCCTACCAGCAGCCTGGGGCAGACCTGCCACGTCTTGGCGCCAGGCCAGCCAGTGGGGCAGCCACGACGCCACCAGCAATGACAACTTCGCCTAAACAACTCCAAGCCCCAGGGCGCGACGATGGAGCAGCAGTGCGGGCTGCCGGCTGCTACCCCACATGGAGTGCACACGGGCAGAGAAGCAAGAAAGCGGTGCAAACTTTGTACTTAGAAAAAGGCTTTGCTATACTAGGAGAAAACCCTGAGCAACACACCATATATTAGTGCACTCCTTTAACAAACTTCTGGCGTTATCATTTCTCCTCATGCGCTTAAGAAGAAAAAAAGAGAGAGAGAGAGAGAGAGAGAGAGAATATTTCTGAAAGGAAACTCGTCCCAGCCAGGCCACGTCCTGCTCTCCTACACACCAAAGCAAACACGACTGTCCCAGGAGGAGGCGGGAGAGAGAGTGAACGACAACGCAAACTCCCTTTCCCCCTGAAAGGGAAGACTGCTCAGGTGTCCGCGGCGGCCCCTCAGCTCCACTCGGACTTTACAGTTCCGGGGCTCAGGGCCGCCCCATCCACCCTCTCATGCGCACCCTAGAACCCGCGGTCCAGGACCCGCGCGTCTTAAGTATCCAGGAAGAAAGAGGATCCCGTTTCCAGCAAACCCGGGACGGAAGCAAGGGAGCGAGGGGCTCGCGGTCTTTCCATCCCCGGAGCCAGTCAGTCACGATCCTGAGGAGAAGGTTTGCAGCTCCACAGGCGACCCCAGGACACGGTCAGACGGATGGGTCCCCGGGCCAGCCCTGTGGCCCCGCCGCCCCCCGGCGCAGCCACCCTGCTCTCAGCGCTCCAAGGCTCGCGCGGGAAGCACAGCCGGGGGAGCCTCTTGAGGACCGGGGGCGACGCGAATCCCGGTGGAGTTGGGAGGGGAGGTCGCACTCACAGGGACCAGCAGCCAGCCGCAGCAGGTCAGCAGCGCGGGAGGCAGCAGCGCGGGCGCCCTCATCCCGGGCTCAGCGCGCCGGGAGACGCCCAGTACCCGCCGCCTCCGTCCCGAGCGCCTGCAGCTCCGCGAGCTCCACCATGGGCCGGGCCCAGAGCGTGGCGGAGCCTCCCCGGCTCGGGCTGTCGGCGCACCGCGCGTCCAGCAGCTGCCGCCCCGCGGCCTGAGCGCGTGGGCCGGGCCCCTCTGTCCCCGCCTGGAGCGCGCTCACCGCTTGCCCGCACGTCCCGGCTGCGCCCCGCGCCCCGCCGCTCCGCCCTCTCGCCCCCTGTCCCCGCCCCGTGCGTCCCCCTCGCCCCCCGTGTCGCCTTCCTCCCCATCCGTCGTGCTCCTCAGCCCCGCACCCCCACCCCCCGCCTCTCCCTGGTGCCCGCCCCGTGCGCGCGCCCTCGCCCCCTGTCCCGTACACTTCACGACCCCCACCCCCGCTCCTTCTGTCCTGCGGGTTCAGGACACCTCGCCTACTTCAGCAAATCTTGGTCCCCAGTCCCCTGCTGCCTCCCTCACCCTGGGTGCCTATGCGCCCGTCTTCATCTCCCTGACTCTCAGGGGCAAGGAGGAGCAGGTGAGAGGGTGTTCAGGGGAGGGCCAGGGGCTTGCCAACTCCGACAAGGGAGGAAGCAGCGGCGCCAGGTGTGCACCAGCCTTCGGCGCGCAGGGTGATGGGTTTGTGGCACCTGCGCTTTCCTAGGGGATAAACTTAGGATGCCCAAGGAAGCGGTCATAAACGCTTACAGGATGAGTGGGCTGCCTTAGTAGGCGGTGAGGCTACTCAACGGGGTCCTGGGAAGAGACATTGTCATGCGCGGACTGGGAAGTCTTTGAGGAAGGATGGGGTTGTATTGAAGGTTCAGGGATTCTCCAGGAGGACCCCCGCAGTTCTTGGTCCTCCCTCCCCCTGGGACTCAGTGTGGGGCTGGACTGGCGGAGACCCCGTCGCTGCCCCAGACCAATAGCGCCGCCTTCAGGAGGCGGGGACAGCCGCGGACGTCCCTGAAACACCCTACTTTCCTGTTCAGCCTGAGGCATTCCTATAGCGGACACCGGTGGTTAACACCAAATGACGAAGCACTGCAACTGAGACCCAAGTCCAGTCATTTATTTGTTGTAATTTTTTTGTGTGTGGCTGTTGTACGTTTAGATAATGAACTGATGAGTTGAGGATCTGCTTTTCGAAGAACTTTTTTTTTTTAAAGATAGACCATGACCAATTCAAAGTTACACAAAGAAGAATAAGAAATGAAAGAACACCCTTGTGCCCAGTGTGTAGGTTGAGCCCAAGGTCCCCACCCGCTAGGTTTGTCACTGGCCTTCTCTCCCAGCCTTCCAGCCTGCCTCAAGGTGCTCTCGTGCTGCCTGCCATCCACGCATCCCACCTGTTCTCTGCAAAGCACGGTCCTGGGCGCAGTGCGACTGGGATGATGAGTGAGGCACGCAGGCTCTCTCCCTGCAGGTGGCATGAGCATCCGTGACATGGACATGATGACAAACGAAGAGGGAGCAGTGGCTTTTTCAGGGGAGGCCCTTGCAGGACAGAAGCTCTGAATGTGCTTGGGGGGCGGGGAAGGATGGAGCATGGATGTGCCAGATTTTTAAAAATACTTTAGTTTCTTTATTTATAAAACAGAATTACACATAGAGGGGGAGAGATGGAAAGGGAAATCTTCCATGTGCTCAAACCAGCTCTTACCTGTGTCCCACGGGTATCACAAGAAATGGCTTAACTTGCTGCACCACAACATAGCCCCATATACTTGGCAATTAAAGGTCATGGGGCACTTGTGGGTAGTGTCCCCTCTTGCAGAGGCCATTCTTTCTGAGCCAAGTGGCCCCCATGGCAGAGAGGGGTTCCATGCCTTACACAGCCACTGCTGGCTGGCAGCCTTGCTGGGAACCCCTGCTGGCGGTCACTTCAGGCTATGCTCACAAGCCCAGCCGAAGCCTTGGTCCCAACCCTGGGTTCTCCCTGCCTATCTTGCTTGTGTCTTCTCACCACATCTCAGTCCATCAGCTCCCACCTGCCTGTGTCTGGGCCCTGGATTCCTGCGGTTCACAGGGACCTTGGCATCTCTCACACTTGTGGTCGCCCCAGATGTTCCAGGCTGAACCCTTCATGGGAAAAATCAAATTTCTATGGATGGGAACTGAGCAAGTCCCATGAAGAGAATCCCAGACATTTAGTGACTCAACAAGGCGCACCTGGGGTCTTCCTGATTAGAACAGACTGAAAGATGCACCATTTAATCACTTAAATAATACACACTGTGCCAGGGCTTTATACTGCATCATGGGATGCATAAATAGCTTCTTCCTGTCCCCACGGTTCCTGCCCCTGCTTGGAACTCCTTACTCAGATACCTCTTGCCCTATCCAGATATGTATCTGGGGTTCTGGAAATAGACACCCTGGGTAGAACACTATGGCCCTGGGTACACCCAGCACCCCTCAGGCCATTCCGACTTACCGTGCTTCATCTTGTAAGAGCCTGAATGTTCGGCTTCAATAACAAATTTACTTCTGCTGAGCCTTAATGAAATTCTAGGATATTGCAGAACATCGGCATTTAAAACCATTATTTATTTGAAAGAATTACAGAGAGAGAGGAAGGAGGAAGACACAGAAAAGGAAAGTCTTATCTCCCCTGATCGGCCACCGATTCACTCTTCAGATGACCACCATGGCCACAACTGGCCAGGCCGAAGCTAGAAGTTTTTTCTGGGTCTCCCATAAGGCTGGCAGGAACCCAAGCATTCAGGCAATCCTTTCACAGGCCATTAGGAAGGAGTTGGATCAGAAGTGGAGCAGCCAGGACACGTATCAATGCCCGTATGGGATGCCAGCCTCACAGGCAGCGGCTTTAGCCACCAAGCAACAGTGTTGTCAGTCTCAGTTCTCTTTATCACTCCCAGCTGGCTAAGTCAGAGGGTATCAGCTGGTGGGCGGGGAATGGCAGGTGGTGGCATGTGGCCTGTCTGAGATCCTGGTTTTCTTGTCCGTGGGATCCTGGGAGCAAACACAAAGCACGGTGTTCTGTGATTAAATTTTCCTGCTCCTGAAGGCAGCAGGGCACACAACTGCAGCACAACGCTGTACACAGCTCACAGGCTCGTGTGCTGGGCCCACTCCTCAAGTTCATTAGGAAGAAGACTTCGGTATGGACATGCACACAAGTGTGACGTGCTCTTTGAGGATGTGTGCCCTCCCTCCACGGGGGTACAGACACAGGCTCCTCTCAGGACAGGGAGCTGGTCTACCTGTGCGGTTTCCAACCAAAATTGACCCTTGGATGAGCCAACTTCCTTACAGCACATTCTGTACACCATGGAAGAGCTGACAATCTGGACCCGCTTGTGATGGTTCCAATTAGCTAATCCTCCCTTTGCGAGCGCCAGGATCCTATGTGGGCAGTGAGGTGTTTTGGCCCATCACATCAAAGGTTAAGCTCCCCAGAAAAAGACCGATGCAGTTAGGGCCAGCTATCTTGCTTTTGACAGTGTCCCAGCTGCTCCACTTCCCATCCAGCTCCCTGCTTGTGGCCTGGGAAAGCAGCAGAGAATGGCCCAAATCCTTGTGACCTTGCACCTGTGTAAAAGATCTGGAGGAAGCTCCTGGCTTCAATCAGATCAGCTCAGATCTGACTGTTACGGTCACTTGAGGAATGAACCAGCAGAAGGAAGATCTTTCCTTCTTTCCCCTTCGTAAATCTGCTCTGCCTTTCAATTAAAATAAATAAATCTTTAAAAAAAATAGAGTTGGTAGTCCTAGGACTGGTGAAACATTCTTTCGCACGTGCTGGAAAACTCAACGCGTGTGGATCATAAAACTCTCAACTTTCCTTGTCACAAAAGGACTCTTCCCCAGCCCACTGTCTACTCAGGCCTTGGACTTGTAGTTGAGAAGCTGTGTCTCTTCCCCAGCCCACTGTCTACTCGGGCCTTGGACTTGTAGTTGAGAAGCTGTGTCTCTTCCCCAGCCCACTGTCTACTCGGGCCTTGGACTTGTAGTTGAGAAGCTGTGTCTCTTCCCCAGCCCACTGTCTACTCGGGCCTTGGACTTGTAGTTGAGAAGCTCTGTAGCGGACAGTCAGGGGTCTTCCTCTTTCTCTGCTCCATATCCACTCCCTGGAACACCGCCAGCTGTCTTGGGTCCTACATGTCACAAGGAGGACGGAAAGGGTCAGAAAGCTGTATTTACAGCAGTGGTGCTGTTGGTGTAATGGATTCAGATTAGTGTTTCCACGAGTGCTTCACACCTCTCTGGATTCTGCATTATTACAGACTGCCCTGCAGTATAGTGGGTAAGGCTGCTCTGTGCAACATCGGATCCCATTTGGGCACTGGTTGGTGTCTGGCTGCTTCACTTCCAATAACCCCTGGCTGCTATACCTGGGAAATCAGCAGAGAGAATGATTCTAGAAGACCCTGGCTCCTAGCTTCAGCTTGGCTCCACCCTGACTGTCATGGATGTTTGGGGAATGAAGCAATAGATGGAAGATATATTTGTCTCTCTCTCTCTCTCTGTAACAATGCCTTTCAAATCAGTTTTTTTTTTTTAATGTTATTGATCCCTTGGTACAGATGAGGCCCCTGTGAATCAGCCTCTTATGAAATCTGTGGTTCTGGACAGTTCCATTTCCTCCTGCTGTGGAGAAGGCTTTGCAGTGTGGGCATGCAGCCAGTTTCAGCCTCTGACCTGTTGGCCTCCCAGTGTGACCCTGACATCATTCCTGCCCCCCTGAAAAACACAGGCCAACCTTCCCCAACTAGATCTTGAAGTGGTTTTCCTTGGGATGAGCGAGAAAATGGCATCTCTCCTGCCTCCACCACCCTTTACTCTGACATCTTTAGGTTGGAAGAACACCTAATGCTCTAAGCCAGCCACATTGGGGTGGTTCTGTGTGTAGATCCTCTTTTAGTGGTCTAACACCTCACCCTCAAATGCAGCAGAGCAGGCTCTAACTGCTTCGGCCTTTTCTGGGGAGCTTGACCTTTGACGTGACTGGCCAAAACACTTCCAACATTCTGTTACAAACTCTTCGCAAGCTTGGTCCAGAAGCCTTCAGAATTATCTAGAAAGAGTCCTAGTGGGGGTGGGGGAGGGTTCTTCAAG